TGGTTTTAAGCCAATTTTCAGCAAAGGAGAAGGGAGTTCCAAGTTTTAGAGAGACAGAGCGATTCCTAGAGAGAGAAAGCGAGAAACCAGAGTTCCCAAGTGCCCTAGCTTGATCTTCATCACCATTGGAGCTCGGCTCACACTTGGAGAAGTGGCGATTGACGACAGGAGCAGAAACCCATCCTTCACAGTATGGTTTCCGCATCTGAATCTGCTTTTGCTTCTCTCTCCATGGACTAACTTCTTCATTCATCTGGGTATGGAGAACCCTAGATTTGTATGTTAGGTCTGATTGTATGAACCCAAGTACAGATTTTATGATTTGATTGTATTCAATTGAGGCTTGAATGATTGAATGACTTGAATCCTGATCAAATTCCTGTTATTTCTGCTTTAGCCTAGAAAGAGAATATCTGCCTAGGTTGATAGAGCACCCTTAATTGAAGGTAGTGAATTGGCGACTTTAGTCGAGGAGTCAATTCACTATTCTGTACCGAATTTACTTCGGTAGCTGAGGTTTGGTTCGTTAGGGCCTCAATCTGTTTACTCCAGTGGAGGTTAGTCGCCCGCTGGGGATTCAGATTGAGAGGGTCTGGAGACCTTTAGTCGAGACTTCAGACTGCTTAAGAACCTCCCGCAGTATAACTATCATTAAAACTGAACTTGGTAAATTGCAATTCGGCTTAACTGCAGTCTAGGGGGAAGGAACCATATCCGGGTGACCTCTCTCAACTTGAAAACAACCGTTTAGTTGCTTGCTTGTATGCTTGTTTGAACCTACACTAAAGTTTCACCGCTAAATAATAAGAATTCACTGAGTAGTCATCACATCTAGGACCCGAGTTGACATTAAAACCCAAACCCGCTATACTACGCTTTAGGAAGTGGTTACACTTGGCCATTTTATAGAGTGACAGTAGGAGTGCGTCAAGTTTTTTGCGCCGTTGCCAGGGACGGCTAGGTTGTTGAAGAAACGTGAATTCTGTTAGTTTAGCTTTTCGTTTTAGCATTGTTTGCTTTGTTACACTTGTGCCTTCATGGGTTTGCTTGCTTAACTGTGTGCAGGTAGTGCATGACCCGTAGCCAGTCGGGAAGTTTACTGCCGTTGGATTCGGAGCTTGAACGCACCTATCGCCAACTCAGGAGACAATAGCGAGCTAGACTGGCTACGAAGGAGCGCATAGACGGCCATTTAAGCAGCGAGTCAGAGGACGAGTACGAGATGGAAGGAGATCACAATCCACACTAGGGGAATCCTCTCCAGGTTCCCCCTGTGAATCAGATCTTGGGGAACAACCCCATACCCCATGCAGATGGGGCTCATCATCATCCACCGCCGTCGGGTCCCACATTGGAGTACTACTACAGTCCATGGATTGCTGATATCCGCCCTGTCATCCTCTACCCGCCCATTCCAGCGAACAACTTCGAGATCAAGCCATGGTGGATTCAACTCATTACATCCTCTATCCAGTTCCATGGCTTGAAGGATGAGGAGGCAAGGGTGCATCTTTCTCGTTTTCTGCAGCTGACGAACGGGTTCAAGCTCAACGGTGTCTCTGATGATGCAATCCGCCTTCACCTCTTCCCCCATTCTCTGGAGGGGAATGCTAAGAGGTGGTTGGAGAACCAGCCCCCATTGTCCATCACTTCTTGGGATGATTCGGCCAACAAGTTCGTGCATAGATACTATCCGGCATCGAAGACCACAGAGATCCAGTGGGAGATCACTCACTTCCGCCAAGAGCCAGACGAGTCACTTTGTGATGCATGGGAGCGGTATATGGGATTTTTCTGGCAGTGTCCCCATCATGGCTTCAGTGATGCATTCACAGTGGGAAACTTCTACAGTGCTCTCTCTCCAGACAGCCAGAGGGTGATTGAGTCTCTATGCCCAGGAGGGGATATTCTTACTAAGACTCCACCTGAACTGAACCAGATGATCAGTACCTTGGCTTCCAGAGATCATTCCTGGGGGCAGAGCACTAGAGGCAGGAATTTCCGGGACCGTGGTGTGCACGCCATGGAGGTCAGGTCCGGGCTCGAGCAGTAGGTGGCCGAGTTGGTGCAGACATTGAAGCAGCCCAACAGTCTTATTGCGGGCAGAGGTTTGGCTACACCTCCAGTAGCTCAATGCCAGTGGTGTGAGAGCTCAAATCATCTAGTGGAAGACTGCCAGGCTATGCGGGAGTTAACTACTCCCCAAGAGCAGTTGGACTTCATCGCCAATGCTCGGCGCACCCTACAGCAACACATACAATGAGGGGTGGCGCCAGCATCCCAACTTCGCTTGGAATAGCAACACCACTAAGCCACCTGGTTTCCCAGCACCAGCAGGTGGTTTCAGCAGAGGCAGCCTTTCCGGGCTAGACAGGGGCCAGTTCCTCAGCAGCAGCCTCAGCGTCAGTATGCCGAGCCAGCAGCAGCTCCGGCTCCAGATAATCAGATGACGGAGCTGAAAAACATTCTAGCGGCATTCATGACTACCACCCAGGCAACTTTCACAAGGATGGAACAGAGCATAGCCTCACTGGAGGCAGGCCAGAGGAACCAAGGTGCCGTTTTGCAAGATTTACAAAACCAGATGGGTAGCATGGCTCGCCAAATTAATACCCGGGCCCCGGGAACTCTACCTGCCACTACCATCCCCAATCCACGGGAGCCGCACCAGCAGCTGAATGCCATCACCACCAGGAGTGTCAAGTCCACATCGGCGGTACCTGCCCAGGCTAGGGAGGAAGAGCCACTGCCTGCTTCAGCACTTACAGCCGATGATGTAGAAGTGAGTGTGGAGAAGGAAGCCCCTGCTCCCAAGCCACAACCAGGGGTTAAGGAGCATGTACCCAAGCTTCCCTTCCCCACTCGACTACACAAAGATAAGCTGGAGACTGAGTTTGCCAAGTTCATGGGAATGTTGAAGCAGCTCAACGTCAGCATACCCTTCATGGAGGCACTGTCGAAGATGCCCAAGTACGCCAAGTTCATGAAGGATCTCCTTAGCAATAAGAAGAAACTTGGGGATCTTTCGACAGTGATGCTGAGCAAGGAATGTTCTGCTATCTTGCAGAACAAGCTGCCCGAAAAGCGCAAAGACCCAGGGAGTTTCACTATCCCTCTTAATATTGGTAGCATACATGTAGGGAAGTCCTTGGCGGACCTAGGCGCTAGCATAAATGTCATGCCATACAATCTGTTTAAAAAGCTAGACCTAGGTGAACTTAGCCCTGCTAGGATGAGCATTCAGTTAGCTGATCGCTCTATTGTGCATCCTAGGGGTATCATAGAGGATCTGCTTGTTAAAGTAGGCGCATTCACGTATCCTGTTGATTTTGTTGTTCTGGATATAAATGAGGATGTGGATGTGCCTTTGATTCTGGGTACACCATTTCTTGCCACCGCCAAGGCACTTATTGATGTGCATAGTGGTAAACTGATCTTGCGTGCTGTGGAATGAACATGCTACTTTTTCTGTACCCCTCTGTGCCTCTAGTTTTGCAGGACTCCCCTCTCACGCTTTCGTCGCCACTCCCTGCAACCTCACCTCCCAATAAAAAGCTCAAGGAGGAGTGGCGGCCGAAACCGCAGGTGGCTAAGCCTGCTCGGAAGAAAGGTGGAGACCACTATGAGCTAGTTCCACCTCCTGCACCACGACCACCCTGGCCATCCGAGTACTCACTCGCCTGCATCTTGCCGGATGGCCAGGTCGAGCTGACCAATGCTGGTGGTCGCACCCGTCGGGTGCATGGTCACCATTTGAAGCTGTATCTCAAGAGCGATGTGGATCCGCTCTTGGAGGCACCTGTCCCTGCACCCCCGCTGAGTATCCACCATGGGCGTCCAGCTAAAAGACGATAAAGAAGCGCTTGTGGGGAGGGAACCCCACCACGGTTTTCATTTATTTCTTTTGTTTTGGGTCGGATTGTAAACTGGTTTGCTTTTGGTTTGTTTTCTTTTGTTTTGAATGATGTATTATTGGGCTGACCATTGGACCTAACGGATTGTGTTGAGTTCTTCTGTTCCCTTTAATTGTGCTTTGTCCCTGACTGGTCCCCTCTCCAGTCCTCTTCGCTCAGACTGGTCCGCTTCCAGTCTCATGTAGTCCGTGCACACTGGTAACATCGTTCCCATTATCTTTCCCTCTTCTCCATTGAGGGCAATGTCGATCTTAAGTGTGGGGGGATGTTTCTATTTTGACTACATTAGATCTGTTTGTGTGCTTGGAGCCTAGTCCACTATCCAAATTTTTAAATTTGAGGGCTCCAAGTACGTGTGTCCTTGCAAATTGCCTGCTCAGTATGCTTTGAATTGACAGTCTCTATAGTAATGTGCAACCTAGGGAGGTAGTGTAGCACTATGGAGGATGTAGAAGTATAAGATTTTCCCTATCTGTCTCTCTGCTGTGCCGGTTGATCTTGTGAACTAGTGGATTTAGGACCGTTGATTCATGTGGTAATGGTGACTCTGATTGGATTGTGTTATGGACTCGTGTATCGAATAGGGTGCTCATGTGAAAAATGAAATGCAGTTGGTCCTCCATGTCAAAATCTTTAAATCATAAACATGGGGTAAGCCCAACGTGTGCGGCACCGTTCATTGCACAAAATCAGGTTTTGGAAGAGATTTTAGTGATCCTTAGTGGGGTACTCCTACAAGGTGAAGCTAAGCCTTCTCTAGTACAAATAAAACTTCCACCAGTTGAACGGTTTGCCTACTTGAGGATGTGTTTTTAAGGGCACGGATAGAGCTTCCGACCCCCCTTAATTTCATTGACCCTCCACACGAGTTGAGGAAAAGGAGTTATTAGAAGTACTCTGGCAAGCGCCAGATGTATAGAAATTTCTCTTGCTTGACTAATAAGGGTTGACCGTGTAGGAGACTGCAGTTGGAACCCCCTCTAAGTGAATGAAAAAGAAAAAAAAGTAAAGCGAAAGTGAAAAAGGGGTTACAACGGTGAAATGAAGTGAAAAGAGCACCCCGGTACAATGAGTCCTTGGTTGAGAATGATATGAGTCCCTTTATCCATGAACTGACTGTCATACTTCTACTTCTTCTCATGATCCTGGCTTGAGTCTAGTACTCGCATTGAGAGAGATAGGGAACGTCTTAGAAGACCAGTTGACATCGTAAGCTGCTATATGATCTAGGTAATCCTCTACCGACGATCGGGGTTGTTTGTTGCTATAGAGGTCTGGAGAGTTGCATTGGTTTGAGTTAGGTTTGCTTGGGGACAAGCAAACGGTTAAGTGTGGAGGAGTTTGATAGACCATTAATTACACATGTTTTTACCCCTATTCTTGAGCCGTTTGAGATGTCGATTCCCGCGTTTTAGGCCAATTTCACGCTAGGTTGTTCTTGTTTGTGATATTTCAGGTCCTAGTATGTGAATGAAGGTTTAGGAACGAGTTCGGGGTTGATTGGAATAAGATTGGACATTTCGCAGGAAGCTAATGGAGCCACACGGGCACGCCTAAAACCTACACAGCCGTGTGACCTGGCCGTGTGGCACCAAATTGCACGGGCAAAGTCACACGGGCCGTGCAGGGGACCCCTTGTGGCCGTGTGAAGGCTCAGTAAATCTCACACGGGCACCCTGGGAAGCCACACGGCCGTGTGGGTCGTGGCCGCGTAGGAAGCCTGAAGTCACTTAACGAAACGCCGCGTTTTGCAAAGCCACACGGGCAGCTGGGGGAGTCACACGGCCGTGTGGCCTGGCCGTGTGAGTCGGGATTTTCTGGTTTTAAGCCAATTTTCAGCAAAGGAGAGGGAAGTTCCGAGTTTTACAGAGACAGAGCGATTCCTAGAGAGAGAAAGCGACGAACCAGAGTTCCCAAGTGCCCTAGCTTGATCTTCATCACCATTGGAGCTCGGCTCACACTTGGAGAAGTGCCGATTGACGACCAGGAGCAGAACCCATCCTTCACAGTATGGTTTCCGCATCTGAATATGCTTTTGCTTCTCTCTCCATGGAGTAACTTATCCATTCATCTGGGTATGGAGAACCCTAGATTTGTATGTTAGGTATGATTGTATGAACCCAAGTACAGATTTTATGATTTGATTATATTCAATTGAGGCTTGAATGATTGAATGACTTGAATCCTGATCAAATTCCTGTTATTTCTGCTTTAGCCTAGAAAGAGAATATCTGCCTAGGTTGATAGAGCACCCTTAATTGAAGGTAGTGAATTGGCGACTTTAGTCGAGGAGTTAATTCACTATTCTGGGGTTAATTGTATGGTTGGTCACTGAGATTACAAAAAACGTTCATGTTTGGTCACTGAAAATATTTAAATCCAACCTTGGTCACTCAAATTAGTTAAATGGTTCAAATTTGGTCACTCTCCGTCCAACTCCGTTAAATTTGTCTGATGTGGCAGTCAACCCTCAAAGTTGACCATTAACTCGGTGACGTGGCAATTAAAAAATAATAAATAAAATAAATTTTAATCTTCTACCATTTCCAACTCATTTTCACAATAAAGTAAAATAATAAAAAAAAATAATAAAAAAAGAGGAAGCAAAATTTTCAAAAAACTTCCCATGGATAGAATGGCAATTCGTCAACAAACAAACAAAAATCCCCCTCAAGTGTGAGTATGAACAGCTTCCCACACCATGTTCTTGGGCATAGGATTCGCCAGGTCCCTCGCCTGCACCGCCACCGCCCTCAACGTCTTGATCGTCCACACGTTCGCCTCGACAAACGAGTAGCTCCGGTACGGCAGGTTGTGCTTCTTGCACAGATCTTGAACCAGCGGCGAAACTTTCCTCAGCTGGCACCTCGGCAGCCTAGGGAACAGATGGTGCTTCAGCTGGAATTGCAACGCGCCATGCTTCAGCTGGAACTCCCCCTCGTCTGCTTCTCGAACCAATCGTTGGCCCTCGGCGGACCCATGTACACATTCGCCGGGAAATGGTTGAGACAAAACTGAACATGCTGGATCGATGTCACCGCGAAGGAAGTCAGCACGAACACGAACCTCTCGGGCCAATTCGGCAAGCAAGCAACCAAAAGAGGGAACCAGGTCCAGAAAACCAAAATCCCAGCTATGTTCAGTGCCCTGTCGGGGACAATTCGTTTGGGGGAAAATAAGAGGATGAAGGTCTGAAGGTAGAGATTCACCCTGGCGACGCACATTACCGGGTAGAACGTCCAGTGTTGGTAGCTGACGAGGAACCTCGCCACGGGATCGAAATCTAGGTTTCTGCCGTAGAAGACGGATCGGATCGATTTGAATAAGCGGGCCGAGACGGCGAACACCGGGATATGCTGCAGATCTGGATCGTAATCGAGGCTGTTCACCGCCAGATGGTGGGCATTGTGCGTCCACTTCCACCACGCAATGCTGATCCCCGTGAGGTAGTTGCCGGCGAGGAGCTGGGCGAGACGCCGTATACCACCAGCAAGAACAGGGCCGCCACGGCGGCGAGGGCCGAGACGGCGACATGCCCTTTCTTGTCGGAGAGGCCGAGCTTGGAGAACTTGGCGGCGAGGCGGCGGTAGGCCTTGGAAACGTCGGAGACGACGTAGTCCTCGAGGTGGTAGCCGGTGAAGAGCGGGTCGAGATTCTTCCACGCCATGCCCGTGTGGTAGGCTATGAATGCGTCGGTGACGTCCTGGCCGGCGACGTTGGCGATGGCTACCTCGCCGCCCGGGTGCCGCTTCACCCACTCGGAGACGTCGTAGACTTTCCCCTGGATCGAGATCCAGAGGTCGTCGGGCTTGTTGTGCTTCTTCAGGTCCTCGCTGGTAATGTATTTCTTTTCCACCGCCATTGTCGATTTTAGAGAAGGAGAAGAAAATAAAACGGAAGGGAGGAAGGAGGCAGTAAAGTACTGGAGAAGAGGAGAGATGATTATAAATATTAAAAAAAAAGAGAAAAAAATAGTCGGAACGGAGAAACCGAATCAAATTTTGCTTCCTCTTTTTTTATTATAATTATTTTTTTATTTTTTTATTTTACTTATTATTTTTTAATTGCCACGTCACCGAGTTAACGGTCAACTTTGAGGGTTGACTGCCACATCAGACAAATTTAACGGATTTGGACGGAGAGTGACCAAATTTGAACCATTTAACTAATTTGAGTGACCAAGGTTGGATTTAAATATTTCCAGTGACCAAACATGAACGTTTTTTGTAATCTCAGTGACCAACCATACAATTAACCCCATTATTCTGTACCGAATTTACTTTGGTAGTGGAGATTTGGTTCGTTAGGACCTCAATCTGTTTACTCCGGTGGAGGTTAGTCGCCCGCTGGGGATTCAGATTGAGAGGGTCTGGAGACCTTTAGTCGAGACTTCAGACTGCTTAAGAACCTCCCGCAGTATAACTATCATTAAAACTGAACTTGTTAAATTGCAATTCTGCTTAACTGCAGTCTAGGGGGAACCATATCCGGGTGACCTCTCTCAACTTGAAAACAATCGTTTAGTTGCTTGCTTGTTTGAACCTGCACTAAAGTTTCACCGCTAAATAATAAGAATTCACTGAGTAGTCATCACATCTAGGACCCGGGTTGACATTAAAACCCAAACCCGCTATACTACACTTTAGGAAGTGGTTACACTTGGCCATTTTCTAGAGTGACAGTAGGAGTGAGTCACATACCCAACCCGGTCTTCTCTATATAGGGTGCCAACCGATCATGCCAAGCGGGCAAGTTTGTGGTCCCTTTATGAACGACAGGAATAAGTGATTCCTACAAAAAAATAGGAAAAACATCAATTTGTTAGTTTTAAGAAAGCAAAATAATACCTCAGAAAATAATAAAATAAAACAAGATAAATCATCAATTTACCGGATTGTTATCCCAAATAGCACAGGAGCGATGTGCTTGTTGATCAGTTAAATACCTCGTATCTCTTGCGCCATAATGGATATACAATTGAGAATCGTATATCTCGGCACCCATCTATAAAAAAAGTAATGAAATCAGATTATTTTGATTAAAAAAAATCACAAAATCAAATTGTTTTGATTAAAAAAAACACAAAAGAAAAACAAAAAACCTACCCGAAGAGCCTCTTCGTCCATTTTTTGGCGGAAGCCGGACAGAGGTTCGACGGGTTTATAAAGGATGGGGGCTTTACGGTATAACTCTAGTAATTCTTTCTGATGTGGAAGATCGGACTTAGCCGCAACCACAGAGCATACTTAGAACGAGACTAGAGTGGATAGATTGAGGGAGAAAGAAGTGTAAATGTGGTGGTGTGATTTAGAAGGGGGGAAATGTTCTATTCATAGTGAGGGAGGGCAGGGATCCACGCAAAATTACTAGGGGGGAGGGGGGGGGGGGACATCACCGTCTTTGACAAAGACGGTGAATTCACCGTCTTTATCGAGAACGGTGATTGACAGGGATCGAGCAACGTGGCGTGCTGTGAGGCGTCGGATTTGGGAAGAAAACCACGATTCGTGCCTCACTGCATCTGACAGCTGCGGTGAGTGGACCCGCGACGCGGATCGCTGACGTGAACAAACACGGGGCATTCACCGTGTTTGTCTAAAACGGTGAATGCACCGTGTTTGTCCACGTTAGCGATCCGCGTCGCATTCATCGTGGACGTAAACAACGGGGAGAACTTCATCGCGTTTAATTAAAACGGTGATGTTATCACCGTTTTTGTTTAAAGCGATGAATGGCTCACTAGCTACTCGCCGTTTTATACAAAGACGGTGAACACGTCATCGTTTTATTCAAAAACAGTGAAATGTTCACTGTGTTTGTCTAACACGGTGATTGTATTCACTGCGTTTGTCAAAAACGGTGAATGTGAAACATGTGTACTTTTGGAAAAAAAATTATAACTTATGTATTTTGGGATTTTTTTTAAGAACTTATGTACTTTGGGATTTTTTTTCCTCTTTTGGTAGATGTGTATCAAATTGATGTATTTTCTCTAAAAAATTATGTATTTACGGATCTGATGCTTCATATATTTGAAAAATGAGGGTTTTAATAAAATCTGGGTTTTGGAAAATCATAGATATATGATGGATTTAGTGGCATTATGGATTTGAACAAGTCTATAGTTTGCTTGATGGATTTGATTATTGACTTTGTTTGATTAGATTTGTGCATATTAAATACAAATTAGCTTGTTACCCTTATTTAATTATATTTCTATATTATAATCCAAATCTTTCATTTAAAACTAATCCAAAACATAGAAAGAAATTTTAAACTCTTTACCACTATGTGGATTAATAATTCAACTACAAATATAAGAAATGTATTACAATTTGACACTAATTAACAATTCATCTAATAATGTATGCATTATTATTTATCAATTGCAACTAATTGTTCACTTTATTGCTACAACTCATCATCTTCTTGCTAACTCACCGATGTAGAATCCGACAGTCAATCAAATAATAATGCACAAGATGAGCATAAAGTGTTTCTATGTGAATCTAACAAATCACATATACATTCATATTTAAATAAAATACGATATTACAAAACAAAATGATAAATTCTCATATTTATAAAATACGAAACTATAAAAGTTTATAGTTGCATGACCATTGAATTAAAATAGGACACATTTGTAATTAAAGAAATAATTAAGGGTAGAAAGGTAATTTACCATCATGGATTTTAATCCATCACCCAAATCCCACCTCAAGAGGTGGAACTTCCAAGTCCGTGGGGTCCACGGATTTGGAACCCGAAAAGAGATGGGCCCCACAAATTCCATCTTCCTAATTCCCTAAGGCAAACGATGGGTTTCGGTTCAAGTCCATGATGGATATATTTTCATGACCAAATCCATCACCAAAACCCTCAAGCAAACGACCCCTCAATGAATCCATGTAATGTAGAGAATGAATCATTTTTTTGTTGCACAATAAAACACAATACATGTATTTGATTGTTGATGTGACATTTGAAATCATTCAAAATGAATCATTTAAGGGCATGTTTGGAAGTTGAGATTCTTCAAATAGATGTATTTAATCAATTCATGTATTATTATTTGATGTATTGATTCAATGCATGTATTAGGAAAATACCTTGTTTGGAAAGATAATGATTGAGCAAAAAGTAGGGTAGACAATCCCTTGTTAACAATCTCTACATTTTGTAGAGATTGACAATCATTCATTTTGAGTGATTGTGGGTGGGCCAGGAAAAAGGTAATATATGCATTCTAACTCAAATTGAACCAAAAAAACGACTTAATCTTATCATTACATGTATTGGCTAAATACCTCACTTGAAATCTCAACTTCCAAACGACCCCTAAGAATCTCAACTATTTGGTGAGATCTTTGAGATTATATTTTGAGATTAATGAATCAACTTTTCTTCTCTTTTATGCCCTTATCAACTTTTATATGTGATTGACTTTTAGGGGTCGTTTGAAAGTTGTGATTTCAAATGGTGTATTGATCTAATTCATGTATTTGTGAGATTAAGTCGTTTTTTGGTTTATATAGAACTAGAATACATGTATTTACTTTTTGGAGGCCCCACCACAATCACTCAATATTGAGGGATTTACAATCTCTACTTTTTGTTGAGATTCTTCACAATCACTCAATACTAACTTTTTTACCTTTGGAACAAAAACACAATCTAAACCTCCAAACAAGATAATTACCTAATACATCAATTGATTCAATCCATCAAATGATAATACACTAATTGTCCCAATACATCAATTGAAGAATCACAACTTCCAAACAACCCCTTATATCTAAAAGAAAGGGTAAATGTGACTTTTCATTCAAAAAGTGGTTTTCCTACTACATTCCTAAAAATACAATCACAACTACCGAACATTGTAATCTTAAAATGCAAGCATTTAACCAATACATCAATTTATAATGCATGCATTCATACAATACATCAATTTTAACAATCGCGAATACCAAACGAGCTATATACTTCCATAGGAGACTTCATTGCAGCAGCAGACCATTTCGTAATTAGGGATGACAAGATAACTATACTTTTGGAGTTGGATGAACGTTTGAATTCGAATTAATCGGGTAGAGGAACAAACGAATTCGAAAAATATTTTTTTTTTCGTTGAATAACCCGAAGAAATTTTTAATAGGTATGGATAATACTGAATTTGAATATTGTTGGTTATTAGTGAAAATGATTTGCTGACTATCCAACAAGACATAGGGGAAGAGGGATACGTTAGGACGCGCACTACTGCTGCTCGCATTGTGCTTGGGGTTTTCTTTAGTTTTTATTAGTTTTAAGTGTGTTTTATGTGTTTTGTGATGCAATCTATCTAAATATTCGTTTTCAGTGATCAAATTCCAAACTCCCCATATATTGTGTTTGTCACTATTGACAAAAAATATGATTCAAAAGTAAAATACAACATTGAAATGTTCAATAAAGTTTTGCCCCCAGACAATCACTTTCACCACTCATTGGAAATGGTGTTAGACTTACTGATTTACTGCTATAATTTTGAGTGACAGATTTATCGAAATAGATTTGCAGGTTATAGTTTTGAAGAACTTGATGAGAACTTATTAGAATGCATGAATAATCCACCATTCACAATTTTTTATCATCCAAGCAAGCCTCAATATATATTCTGCTTCACTGGACCCACTGATGTTTGCATTAAACAAATGGTAGTCAAATGGAAAGAGACAAATATAGAGTAATTAGAAGATTAGCATTCTCACATCTACGGTGCTAATCGGTTGAGTTTCGGTCAACCACTAGCTGATACGACAATTAGCAGTCAACCAATAAGCAAAATTTTGTACCGACAATCAAATCGATAAGTTTTATTTATTAACTTTTTTATTGGTTCGGTTGACGGTTAGTTTGGCGGTTAATCAATAACAACTAAAATACATTCCAATAAGTGCATTTAATGTAGTCAAAAGTGAGTTTCTACGTAGAAACGTTTTGGTGATCTAGAAGCGTAAAATCGTAAATTTTTAAATTTAAAGCAGAGTTTTTAACTACAATAGTTGTAAAAACTGAGATTTTGCGTAGAAGCGTTTAAGTGACCTAGAAACGTAAAACGTAAGTTTTTAAGTTTTAAAGCGCGATTTTGACTACATTGAGTGCATTTATAGTTTTCTACTTAAGTCTTAAACACATTTGAGACTCTTGGTGGAGGGTCGTTTATAATAGGCTGGAATCGGGATGTTTGGAATTGCGACTTTGGTTGGTTTTGAATCTTGAAACTTTTCCCCTTAGTCAAAGTCCAAAACTATGCGGTTAACTGGTTAACTGATTGCCTTTATCAGTTCCGTAACTGATAACCGACTAACCGTTGACCACCCTACCATATCGCACAATCCCCCAATACTGTTCCACATAAAAAAAATTGACAGGAAAACATAAAAAAAATTTGACAAAATATAATCATATATTGATTCAAAAGAATAGATAGTTACATCCTGGAATTCAGCCATGCCTGGAAATAAAAGAAACGACTCATAGTCGGGTACAAAGAAATGGCCTTTTTAGCCACCACATGGGCTACCCTATTACTACGCCGACCTACAAATCGAACACTAAACCCAGGGTGGGTGGAAAAGTACTGCACAATCGCTTCAAGAATAGCACCCATTCGGTTATCACAAGTCTCATCCCGATTAATCTTATCAATGATCACTTTGGCATCACCTTCAAATTCTATTTCCGTGAAGCCGTGGTCCAGACACTATAAAATCGCCTCTCGAAGCACGAGCAATTCTACCACCATAGGATAATCAATTATCGAAAATTGGATCTCATTAGCTATAAGGATATCTCTAGCTGGGCTCATAAGAAGCATCTCACCTGCTGATTGAGACCCACTCCTAGTAGCCTCATCCCATATACAAACAACCATATGAGCCCCCAAAGGCCCCAATTGTTGTACCGAAGGGGTAGTAGCTGGAGCAGCTCTATCCACCGACAAACTTACCCACTCCTCATACTGCTGATTAAATTGTCGCATCAAAGCAGGAATCCCAAACTGTTTACCTTCAAAGACAACCCAGTTAAAGGATCGCCAGATCCTCCAGAGGATAGCGACAAGCGCCACGAACAACGACTGTTGATGTACAATAGACATCAGCCGCTTAAGAAAAAGTGGGAAGGTATGACGAGGCAACCCCTCACCCAGATATTCCAGACCCGAATAGTCCCAAAGAGAATGCGCCACCGGACAATAGAGAAACAAATGCTCCATCGTCTCATAGGCCTCCCAACAAACCGGGCATCTGGGAAGCACATGAACATCTTTTTCAATGAGGGCTTCATTAGTTGGCAGGATTCGGCTGAGGATTTGCTAGAGAAATACCTTCAGTTTTGGAGGAATATTAGCCTCCCACAAGCGAATCCAGTTGGTCTTATCCATCCAACTAGTCGTGGACCTCCACCAACCCCTCCGCTTATTAAGTGCGACAGCTAAATGGTATACCGATTTAATAGAGAAAACCCCGTCAACTGCGTCATGCCAGATCATTCTATCCTCCACATTCTGACGCGGAAGAGTAATAGCTTTGACGGCATCACAGGTAAACGGGTCAAACCACTGACGAAGTTTGCGGTCACACCACCGGCCTTCCCCTTGACAAATAACCGCAGCTACCGGTGGGTCCCCCCCAATCGGTAAAACCTGGGGATTATACCGAGGGAGATCAAGCTGTAACCGAGGTTTTCAGTTGGAATGCAACAGAGAAGCAGACCGTCCATTACCAATTTGTCATCTTAGCCCCATCTTTAATAGTTGTCGACCATAAAGGATACTCTGCCATCCCCACGAAGGGTGAGAGCGAGTCGTAGCTTTGAGGAAGGTCCCAGTTCATTAAGGATACGCCATCCAATTTTGGCTAAAAGAGCTTGGTTAATATGTTCAAATCGGCGAAATCCCATCCCCCATCATGTTTACTCCTGCACATATTGCGCTAGGAAATCCAACGAATCCTAGACTGACCCTCTTCAGCACCCCACCAGAATCAAGCCACATGTTATCCAATAACCGACACAGAGAGAGGTAATTTGAAGCAGAACATCACATGCAACGGCAACGGCAACGCCAAAGCAATTGATTTAATCAAAGTTTCCTTAGCCGCCCAAGATAATGTCCTCCTCTTCCATCCCTGGAGTCGCTCTATAAATTTCTCCTCCAAATACCGGAAAGTAGCCATTTTAGATCGGGCAATCAGCGTAGGTAAGCCTAGATACTTATCACGGACCCCTACCGCCCCAATGCCCAGAATCGCAGCCAAGAATTCTTGGTCCGAAGAGCAATATTTTTACTAAAACAAACTGCCAATTTAGCCAAGTTCACTCGCTGACCACTAAGCTCCTCTTATTCGTTCAAGACCTCGATCAAATTCTCACACTCCTGGAGAGAGAAACGCATGAATAAATAAGAATCATCATCGAAAAAAAAATGCGAGATCCGGGGGGCATGAGGAGCCACTTTCACTCCTTCAAGCTTTTTCTCAGAAATAGCCTTGCGCAGGACCGCCGTGAACCCCTCAGTGCAGATAAAAAACAAAAGAGGGGAGAGCGGATCCCCCTGACGGAGTCCCCTGGAGGGAGTGAAGTACCCCGATGGGGTGCCATTCATTCTAACAGAAAAAGACGACGACCTAAGGCATTCATGTATTCATCCTTGCCAGACGGAGTTAAAGCCCATCTTGTCCAAAACTGCGAGAAGAAATGGTCATTCGACTCTATCATAGGTCTTTTCCATGTCAACCTTTAGAGTTATGTATTCTTTCTTACCACGCGTTTTGATTTTCAAGTAGTGCATTAACTCATGTCCAAGGAGGATATTCTCAACTATTTATCGTTCCCCGATGAAAGCATTATGACCTTTCGAAATGATTTGTGGTAAGAGGCTAGCAAGCCGTTCAACCATGATTTTGGTTATAATTTTATAAACAAACTAACATAAACTAATAGGCCGCAATTGTCTCTTAGTCTCCACATTATCCACTTTGGGGATCAAGGTTAGCTAAGTATGATACTATGATTGAAGCTGCGGAGCATCTTACTTGTTGTAAAGAATGAACAAACAACATCAATTACTTAGCTCCCACAATATCCCAAAAGGCCTTAAATAAATTTCCCGTAAAACTATCCGACCTAGGAGCCTGCTTGGTTCCCATAGCAAAAACCGTTTTTCGGACTTCACCAGGGAGTACTTAAGCCGTTAGGCTGACATTCATATCCCGTGTAACACTGTGAGTGATAGGCAGATCAGCCACCCGATCAAGCATGTTCAGCACCTGATTTTCCGAGGTAAAAAGATGGTGATAAAAGTTATTAGCAATATCTACTTTTCCATTTCATCAGTGATCCATTCCCCATTGTCATTGCGGAGACCGGCCACAAAGTTACGTTTTCGACGTGCCCTTGTCACCGTATGAAAATAAGAAGTTGTTTACACCTAAAATATTTTTGGCCTAAATTCAATGTCGTAATAATGAGTCTCGGCATTTAGTTCGATATCGCATGGCCAAAACGATGTCATTTGGAGTCGAGCAAAACCGCGGAGAATTTAAGCGAGACCGCGAAGAGGCTCGGCGGTACCGCGGTACTTGAAACGACATTGGTTGCAGACCATGTGTGAGTCATGCGCAGGACATGTGTTGCTGTTGGACAAGGAATGTTTTTTTTATTTTATTTTTCCTTGTCGGAGAAGGAGAGTAACAGCGCCGTTTGGAGTCAAGCAATGCTGCGAAGAGATAAAACGGTGCCGCGGGCCTCAAAGCTCAACGGCATCGCGAGACTGGGAAACAGTGTCGTTTGGCTAAAAACGGCACCGCGACAAGCGGCATCGCGGATGAGTTAAAACGGTACCGCAAGGAAGCTCAGTGGTACCGCGGCACTGGAAACGACACCGCGAGTAAGCCTAACGGTACCGTTGTATTAGCAAACGACAGTGTTTAAATATTTAAACAATGTCGCGGAAAGAAAAACAAACGGAGCTGTTTGGAGAGGAAACGACACCGCGGAGCATGAAAACGATATCGCGCGAGGAACCAGCAATACCGCGGTGGTGGATAAAGCCGCGAGCTAAACAACATTGCGGTGGAGAGAGATGTCGCGATCGCGAATCTAGCGGCGTTGCTAGTGCGGCAATGCCGCGAATTTCAATGATGCCGCAAGGCCAAAGCAACATCGTGGAGTTCAACGAAGGCCATCGACTTTGTGTGGTCAACGACGCCGAGAGATCAACAATCTACCGGCGAGTACACGGTGACGAGGGTGAAACAACAATGTTGTTTTAGTCGATGGCGGTATCGGGATTCGAACCATGGTACAAAGTTGATGTGTGTGCACGTGACTTTTACGCAAAGCAGAAAGAGGAGATCAAGGCAGTTGAGACACGTGGGGATTCAGGACGGAGCAGTTGAGGAAAGCAGTTCAACAGAGCGTGAAGACTACGAAGTTGGTTTTAGATAAAATCAACCCTGCAAGGAGAGAGAAAGGGGACAACCAAATCAACACAGAAACACATCTGTCAAACTTTACCTTTTTCTTTGTAACTCCTTCGCGGAGCTCTCCTTCCAGGAAGGATCTCCATAGTTGTAGTCTTAGTCGTAGTCGCGGAGCTCTCCACAGGAATCTCCATAGGAGTAGCAGTAGTGTAGATTCCTTAAAAAACTCAAACACCCTCGTTCGAACGTAGTTTGGAGAGGTGCGAACCGTAGTAACGGTCGCGTTGGTTAGAAGTTAGAGGTGCCTCGATCAAATCAACACCGCCCGACGGTGTATATTTGACGGTCACGTTGATTTCACCATTTAGAGGTGCATCGATCAAATCAACGGCGCCGACATTCGGTGGCGGATATTTGACGGTCGTCTCGATTTTAGCAATCAGCGGTGCTTCCAATCAAACGGCACCGCGAGAGTTTCCACCGCGAAACATCAAATCAACATCGCCGGAAACGAATTCGGCACAGGCGGTGGCATTTGGTTTTCCCGAGGAAACAGAAGTATTTTTATCACCTTTCTTCAACTATTGGACTCTGAATTTTTGCTGCCAGTAGACTTCATCTGCCTCCCATTGTCTATTCAACTCAATTTCCAACCTTTGAATCGCATCCCAGTCTATAGGGTTTTAAGGGATTAATAATTAATGTCGTTGCTAAAAAAAATTGCCCATAAATAATTGATAATCAGGGATCAAATTAGATATATGCACCGCTTGCTTTTTTCCATCAATATGCAGTTAACTATTCTCTATCTTGCATATATTTTTTATGTGAAAGTGTGAAACAATGGGATGAAGTCTTTAGCTAAAAATTATCACATCTACAGATGGGTATCTTGCTAATTGGTAGTACAATCATAGTTGTAGATTTGTAGTCATTATTTTTGTCGTAATCATATTTTTTTCAATTGTATGACTACAACTCTGGCACAATCATAATTATAACCATTATTTTTGTAGTTGTAAGAATACAACTCTAAAAGTCTAAAACAAACTACTACAACTTGCGCTAACCACAATAATGGCCCACATTCAAATCAGTCGAGTGAACTTTCCATTAGTTTCTACTTGCAAGCCTGCAACTAGGATTCATTCCAACATGTTTCCGTAATAGGCCACCAAACAATTAATTACTATTGTCAGTCGAAGCTCGGATTGTTATTGTGTTCCCGTGACTGTGATGTTCTTTCCATGCCAAACATAATCCTAAGAAAACAAACTTTTCGGTTACAGGTACCACTGTTTGGTTTTCTGATCCTGATTATTCACATGACATTCATATTTCTTCAGCTCTCGTACTAGCATTTTATCCTCGTGTATTATTACAAACAATAAAGATATTCCTATATTATTTATTCCATAAATGTATTTTTATACGATTAAAACTTAACAAAAGTATCACTTTATTCAATATTTTGTTAGTTGATTGTTAAAGGGGTAAAAATTGACCAAATTATCCATAATTTAATAATTAAATTTTTTCAAATAAAAACATCATTTATTTAATTGATTACATTTTTTCTTGCTAAATATTTAAATTTATTTTTGATTTTTATACTTTTTAAGTTTTTAACTTTTTATTTGGTGCTTAAAATATAAAATAATTAAGTTTATCTAATAAGAAAGGTAAAATTTGGTCATTCCTTGCCTCCTTCAACAGTCCTTAAACTGGATAATGGATATAAACTTATTTTTGTTAAATCTACACATAATATAATACGCCGAAGGGAAAAATAAGAGCTCCATTTCAAATTTCCTACAACGAGAGTGAAAGTAGGAAAGACATTTTAGTGTTCACAATTACTTTTTTATTCATTAAAAAGACATGTAATGGGATTCAAACCATGACCATTTTAAAGAAAAGCAAGGATCGTAACCAATCACACTAAGTACATTTGTTGTATCTTTTTAAATTAAAAACATATAATAGCAGGGAGGAAAAAACCATTCCCCCATTTCAAATTCCCTGCTCCAGGAGCGTTTGTAGGAAGGGTAGAATAGGAAGTGTCAATTTTTTTTTCTCTTTCCTCTGTGGAACGGGCCAACTTACCGTACACATGCGGATTTGAACGGGTCCAGGAGTGTCAATTTTTTCTTTAAGCCCTTTTATTTCTCTGTGGTGATAAAATATATATGAAAATGCAAAAATAATACTTCTTTTTATTGCTAAAAATAAAAAAATTTAACAATAAACTAATGCATGGTATCTAATGGGCTAACCGCTAACCATAAAATAAAAGAGTTGAATAGGCCTGACCTACACGGTATTTGGCAATCAAATAAAACAAATGAACATCATTGGTTTGACATTCTAAAACAGCTATTCTCTCTGGCATAATATATATTATGTTATTATTTTATATCTTAGTGGCTAAAATATAATGTATTTTAAAGTTATTCAATGGTTCAACCTCGACCAACCCAATTAGTCCAATTTTTATCATTTCAAATATATATTATATAATTATTTGATATCATAATGATCACATTATAGTGTCTTTTATAGGGAATCGTTTGATATTTGTTAGTAAAAAATTAAACAGAAAGATCTATTTGGTTATTTTAAACACTAAAACGATCCTAAACATTTTCAGTTCCTTTTGAATTTCTATGGTTTTATTCCCGAATAAGTGATGTGCAAATGACGAATTGCAGTCATATATTTTCTTTCACTTTTTTTTTATTTTCAAATAGAAATTTTAAAAGTAAAGAATAATTAGAATTTGGCATGGGTCGGTCAAACAGGCTGAATTTCAAGTTTTGGCCCGTTTTGATCAAGTCTAATTTATAATCACATGGTTCCCTGATACCCGATAAAAATCTCAATCCAAACTAGTTTGGCAGGTGAGTCCGTGTTTACAACCATTTTCTAGGGATACGACAACGATGTTCCTATCCCAAATCGTGTTGTTCGTTCTTGATTCCTTAGATTTTATCATGGCCTGACAAAAACCAGAAAGCACAATGACGACAAGATGAAAGTTTTATAAAGCAAATTAATCGACCAACGGGCCGAGTAAAAGCTAGCAACGATTGTGAGATGCTCATTTCCCGAAAACCGACGGGATATGCGATTTTTTATTCGATTTTCTGGAAATCGGTTTCCATAAAACTTGCTCCACCTCATCATATTACCATAAAGAAATATTGTTTTACAAGGTATCAGGTACTTGATTTTGGTTCAGAAGGCCGATTTTTGATTCGTTGCATCATTCATGTCTCTTTCCTACTAAAATTCACTATTATTATCACGTGTTTCCCAAAACAAACTATACAACAATAAACTATACATCTCATTATATTATCAAATTTCATAACTCACCTTCCTCCGACCAACTGACCGGGGCCCGCACTAGTTTTGATAATAAAGGAGTACATTTTAGCGTTATCGCATATTTTAAGCATGTTGTTAAGTGCGTTCTTTGAAACCTAATTTTCAATTTGATTGGTTGAAGCACTAACCATAGTCATTAGTGATAGTTCTAAACCATGAATGATGTTCCATAATGAAATATTCGATGAGACTACCAAAAAAAAAAAAAAATTTGCCAACCATACAAATGAATTGAATTGGAATGTGCAGCTCTTAACATATATCGACAGACATCAAAAGTACTACACTAATAGCCTAATACATTCAATGAAATGAACCTATTCCCCTTTCTTGGTTCTTCCAACTCAAACCGCCAATTGTTTAATATATTTCCACGGGCACTATTAAGTGTCAAACAGCACTGTATTAGCAATAATTCACTTTTGAGATGATGGCTTTGTTTCTTGCTAATTACAATTCATTTTGCAAGCTGGAACTCCAATTATTGTACCCTTTCTTGTTGGCTAATAAAGAAATGCCATCGATTTTTGGCAGTGATCAGTGTGATCATTAGACTGAGCTGGTTAGCACAAAGCACTTGTGTTGTGCCAACTCTTTCCTTATGGACCTTTGTCTAAAATTTCACTTTCAGCAGAGACACATAAAACTTTCTTCTACTCTACCAGAAAAGAAAGGCCAAGGCCAAGGCCAAGGCCAAGCTTAGCTCTAAAACAAACCTAACTCTCTTTTGGCTCTTTTTCACTCTTGGGTGGTATTCAACATCTTTTCTGCCTAATTAGGCGGCTTTCATACAAAACTTTCTTTTCCTCTCAAATTCTATATGGTCAAACTGAAACGAACTTGTCATTTTCACAAATTATATTTAAAATGAAAACTAAGAGAAGAGCATGTAAATCATTCTCAATTCTCTTTAATCTTATTTAAATGCAAGAGGGCTGGCGTTTTCCATGTCACAACCAAACAACTCAACAAGTGAGTTCACCTCACTTATTCATGGCGCTTCTTTCACATGATACCTGTAGTAATCGACAAGCTTTGCTTCTTATTTGATTAAATTTGATCATTAGGGTCGACATAACTAAAAGCCAATCTCTTTAAACCATTAGTGAGTTGTAAGCCATTCTCAATTCTCTTTAATCCTAATTTAAACGAAAGAGGGCTAGCGCGACTGACTGATGAGGGAGATAGATTGTCACACATGTGTTCGATCTCCCTGCCTTCATCAAGTTGGTGTAACAATCCTTGAGTAACACTCATCAGCTAGTTATTATAGACACCATCGTTGATGTCCAGTGGATAAGAGTCCTTTGTCCAAAAAAATCCACACAATTGAAGGAGACTTCTCTTTACTGTTTATTCTCTTCTTACTAACTCGATTATCAATCAAAACATGTACAAGTCATCAAAGATGAACTTGATCTTTTTTTCTTTCGGTGTATCCACTCTGAAAGTGACAAAAAGCTACAAGCAATATTCATAAAGCACCTCCGGTGTTGCAATGTGATTGGAGATCAGCTTTCGAAACTTAACATCAACACTAGTGTAATATTAATAACAATAACAATGATAATATCACAATCTAACCCATTCCATACACGGTATTTGGTGATTAGTCTCACTCCACACACACTCTCTCTCTCGTCTTGAGAGAGACTAAAAAAATGGCAGTGGCGGCAGCTAGCAAGAGAGCCCACATGGTGTATTGTTGTAACTAAATATCTAGAAAATAAAATCAAAACAGGGTGGGTAAAAAGGGCAAAGCACCATTTTCCATTGGATCATTCACAGGACAAGCGAAGAGGACAATCATTCATTCATTATAAGTATCCCCACCACCACCGCCCCCTCTTTATAAATATCTCCTCGTTTGTTACGGTCTGGGTTCGGTTACAAAACCCCTTCCGTGTCAAATCCGATAGTATCATTATATCACAATACGATCGAATTTGACAAGCTTAGTGTTTTGTACAGTATCGGCTTCCTTTCTTTATTGCACTTTTTTTTAATTATATATAACATAATAAAAAAAATATTCATATCCAATAATAAATAAAATATGAGATGAATAGTAGCAGTTTTGTTGGGATGCATTTGGTGCATTAAGTTAGGTTGTAATGTACTTTTTGACAACTCTATCTCCATGAGAGGAGAGGAGAGGAGAGGAAGCCAAGCAACTTCCTTGCAGCAAAGCAAAGCAAAGCTCTCTCTGTCCTGTGGTGGTACTAAGTACACATTGCCCAGTACAGCTGTCTGGTCTTTGCAAGGAATGGATGAATAAATTAATACACACTACACAAATGTGATAATAATGATAACACCACTTTTTAGCTATACTTTGTTGTTTCTTTGTGACCTCCACTATTATGATTAATTCGAAATATATAATTTGAATAGTTGATCATCTAATCTAAGTATCTATTTGTAGTTCAATAGTTTCCAAATTATCTATCATTTTTAATCTTGTAACATAATCTAAGGACGAAAAGGGGTTTACTTTTGTTACTAATTAACCGTGAAAAGGGGATATAATCTTCAACAGGGTAAGTTTGTACACGAAAGATATATTATATACAAATCAAAAGTAGATTGATGATGGTGCAGGTTCAGTTTTGGTTTTAACCGAAACAATTATATAGACTTATAAGTTTTTCTTAATGGCTAAAACTTGTAAGTTTTTAACAATTTCAATTAATCTCATAAGACATTCATTTTCGTGCTTTCATAATATTCAACAAATCAAATCGACTTCAACCAGATTAATATTGTAATTTATATCTAAACAGACTGTACATTCATCATGTGAAGGTACAGTGGACTAGATGATACATACCATATTCTTCTTCATATGATGATACCCTGGTTTTGACAATTGAACGTTATTCAACTCAAGTGATCACAATAGCAGGATCTTTGGTCCTCCTGTAAATCTGCTTGATTTGAACAAGATTAACGGCTTTTTAAATGAAACCGACAAGTAAAAAATATGTATATGCCACAAATAAAAAAAAAAAATATA